ACGCCGCGTTCAAGGCGCTCAACGCGTGCTGCAAGGCGCACGCGGCGACGAAGGCCCAGGTCCTCGTGCGCTGGGCGGTCCAGCGCGGCTTCGCTCCGCTGCCGCGGTCGACGGCGGCCGACGCCGCGCAGCGCCTCGCCATCGCGCAGAACGCGGCCGCGGGCGTCGAGGACGGCGACTTCTGGCGCGGGGGACCGCTCTCGCGGGCGGAGATGAAGGCGCTCGACGCGCTCGAGGACCACCTCGCGAGCGGCAAGCTCGGCCGGACCGACGGCTGGACGGCCGACGACGTCGCGGGGCCGGGCTGGGACCCGACGACCTATGTCGACGGGTAACTGAGCTCTTAATAGAGGTAGGATGCGATGGCGGCGTTGAGGACGTGCGGGACGGCGGGGAAGTCGAGGCGCTTGAAGTGCCAGTTGCGCTTGCAAACGAGCGCGACCACAGCCAGCTTAGCTTTGCGCTGGGCACCGGCGCTGGCAATCGTTGGGGCGCCGGCGCTGGCATTGATTGAGCAAAACGTAACGACAACTTGGCCGCGCCACGCCAGCTCGACAAGCGCTTCATCGCCTGCGCCGCGAGCCAGCGCGATCGCAACAGCATTGTCGTCGTTGTTGCTGATGAGGTTCAGTAGCGTCTCACTGGCATAATCCGAGCCAGCGATGCCGCTCTGGGCGAAACGGAGGAGTGGTGGAATAGCCCCGGCCTCCCGAATCGCGACCTTACTCTCGGCATCGCCCACCGCGAGGGGGCACAGCAACTTAGCGGCGGTGCGTTTCGCGGTCGCGCCGCCGCTCAAAAACGGGACAAGCAGCGGGATGCCATCGGCCTCCCGAATCGCAGGAATCGCAGCCTGGCGCCAGTAGTTTACGGTCGCGAGGGTGCCCAGCAGCACCAAGGTATTCAATTTTTGCTCCGAGCTGCCGCGCTTGAGCAGCGCGACTAGCGGTGGGATGACGCCAGCCTTGCGGATCGCGTCAAGCGCCAGGGCGTAACGACCCCCTGGATAAGCAACATACATACGACCAGGGCCGGTCTCCCCCTCTTTTTCAAGGAGGGCTGCAGCTCATCTACGTGCCAGTGGGCATATTCATCGCCGCGCCGCAGCGCGGCGACCGCTGCCGCGAGAGGGTCATCGTCCATCTTGGCCAATGTTTACCACTTCAATAAGCAAGCTCTCCAAATCGGTCAGGTTTTGGCGTTCAAGGTGTAAGAGAGCGTCGGTGCTGGCACGCGCGAGCAGCGCTCCAGCAGCGATGCGCGCCCGCAGCGCATCGCTACTCGCTCTCTTTTGCACCAATGTTATCGCATTGCAAGCGCCGCGGCAAAAACTCGCCCCGACGCCCGCGCGCGGCCGCGCACCAGCAGCCGCGCCCTGGGCACCACCGCCACTCGCAGCAGCCGAAAGGGCGCCGCCGCCCGCCGCCGCCGCCGCGCCACCCTGGCGCGCCGTCGCCGTCGGCGCGCTCTGCGCCGGTGTGCTCGCCGCCGCGCCGGAGCTCGCGGCCGCGAACTCGGACGCCGTCGTGACGTCGATCGTCGCGCCGGATCTGACGGACGGCGACGTGGCCATGAGCGGCTTCAGCCACGACGCGCTCGTCTTCCTCGCGGCCACCGTCGTCGTGACGCCCCTGTCCCGCGTGCTCGACGTGTCGCCGATCCTCGGGTACCTGGTCGCGGGCTGCGCCTTGGGTCCGGCCGGTCTGAACACGTTCCAGGACCTGGCCGTCGACGACGAGCTCGCGGAGATCGGGATCCTCTTCCTCTTATTCGAGCAGGGCCTGGAGCTCACGCTCGAGCGGCTCGAGGCGCTCAAGGTCTACGCGTTCGGCCTCGGCACGGCGCAGGTGCTGCTCTGCAGCCTGTGCTTCGGCGCGTTCCCCTTTTTGGGGGGCGTCGAGTTCCTGGAGAATCTCGTGGGCGCGCGGCCGG